ACCTATACCACCACTTATCCTTCAACAACCTGCTCTGTAATGCTACATTGTTATTCCACCTTACTGTTGCATATGGTGATGTTGTAATTGCAGGTGCTGCTGGTGTTGCAACTGCAGGTGCCGCTGCAAACTACTTCTGTTGCTGCAGCAACGATCTCTGGTGTTGCAAATGTTGCTGTTGTAATTAATGGTGGTGGTTGGGGTGGTTGCTGTGGTGATCATGACGGTGATGGTGATGTCACCACTGTTGCAATCCCATCACAGTTAAGACTCAATTTTATGATCAATTTCCACCAATTACGTCGTCAATATCCTCTACTTGAGTCCCCAGGTCAACCCTTGCGAAGCCTGGGCTCTGAACGCCCCTTGCTGGTAAGGTTGTTTTTGTCTGCTAAGAGTGGGCTGAGATTGACTTTATGGCTCAGTGTTGGTTATCACTGACTGCAGCCTCAGCACTAAAGCTCTCCTTCAAAGAGGATGAATTCTTAACTTGTTATCGTCCAATAACGACATAAGTCAAGTGATACCTGGCCAACTTCTTTTACGAATCTTGGTATCCTGGCTGAAAATTAACCTGCTGGCAGATATAACTGCTCATAACTTACTCCGTCACTCCACTACCCCTCAGTTACTCCGGTACAACTTCCTACTTCCCTCACACCACTGTTTCTTCCTCCCTCACTCAACTAGCACTTCCTCCCATCCCACTTCACTATTACTACCTCACTCCATTATCTCTTCCTCTCCCACCTCATCCCACTTCCTCTACTTCCCTCACTTTTGTATTTCTCTCTTAACATCTTGTTCTCCAATTATGGCAGTCAGTTCCCCACGAACTATCTTTATGCGTTTCATTAAACATTAATATTTATTTTCATTTACGTTAGATTTGGCTAGATGACGTGAGGTTAGGCCAGGTGACGTGAGGTTAGGTGATGTGAGGTTAGGCTAGGTGACGTGAGGTTAGGCCAGGTGATGTGAGGTTAGGTGATGTGAGGTTAGGTGATGTGAGGTTAGGCTAGGTGATGTGAGGTTAGGCTAGGTGATGTGAGGTTAGGCTAGGTGACGTGAGGTTAGGCTAGGTGATGTGAGGTTAGGCTAGATGACAGGAGGTTAGGCTAGGTGATGTGAGGTTAGGCTAGTGACGCGAGGTTAGGCTAGGTGATGTGAGGTTACGCTAGATGACAGGAGGTTGTAGGGGTGAGGACTAGAGACAGTTGAGGTGATGTGAGGTTAGGCTAGGTGATGTGAGGTTAAGCTACGTGATGTGAGGTTAGGCTAGGTGGCGTGAGGTTAAGCTACGTGATGTGAGGTTAGGCTAGGTGACCTGAGGTTAGGCTACGTGACGTGAGGTTAGGCTAGGTGATGTGAGGTTAAGCTACGTGATGTGAGGTTAGGCTAGGTGACCGGAGGTTAGGCTACGTGACGTGAGGTTAGGTGATGTGAGGTTAGGTTAGGTGACGTGAGATTATTCTAGGTTATGTGAGGTTAGGTTAGGTGCTAAGAGATTAGGCTAGGTGACGTGAGGTTAGTCTAGGTGATGTGAGGTTAGGTTAGGCGCTGTAAGGTTAGGCTAGGTCCTGTGAGGTTAGGCTAAATGACGTTAGGTTAGGATAGGTGATGTTAGGTTAGGCCAGGTTAACGTATATTAGCCTATATTTACCTAAAATTACTAACAAAAACGAAAAGACTGACCAAGCAGAACTATATAACATGGAAGCTAAATAAACAAACGATCACAATTTACGCCCACAAACACAAACACACACACACACACACACACACACACACACACACACACACACTGAGAGTGGTGTGATGGGACACTGGTACATGTACACCTTGGATCACTCAGTTAATTAGCCAGAGAAGGAGAATTCTCTGTCAGCACGCCTCGCACGCTCATATTTTTTGTATCTCTCCAGCCTCATTACAAGCCTTCACCTGCGCTGCTTATTCACACACACACACTTACACACACACACACTTACACACACACACACACACACACACACACACACACACACACACACACACTTACACACACACACACACACACACACACACACACACACACACACACACACACACACACACACACACACACACACACACCACACACACCATCCCTACTTCCACCATCCCAACCTCCATCATCCTAACCTCATTTATTAATAACCAAAATGGGTGTATTAGTAAATATATCAAGATTTACACTGAGCTCTCAAAGCAACGGACGATAGCAAGAACAGCTTGGTTGAAATGGCAGTCAACCAGAAAAAAAACGCCTGCTGGATGCTCCACCTCTGATACTTAGAACCTGTCTCACTCCCTTCCTCCAAACTTCCTAGGTAGACTACATGCTTCCTTCCTGCCTCCCGAGTTTATGCATCCTCTTTGCCATTATATTCTGTTCCATCCTTCCCAAATGACCAAACCTCCTTAATAACCCCTCTTGAACCCTTTGAATTATACGTATGGTAACCCCACACCGCCATCAAATTTCTACTCTCCGAATTCTCTGCATAATATTCACATCACACATTGCTCTCCTCCTCCTCCTCGTGCTTCATACCTAATATATCGAGTGGTACCATTACCACCCTTTGCATGATTGTCATTCCTTTGATACCTTACCTTCTTTTATACATATCCTGAGGAAATACGCCCAAAACGATGAACTACATTATACGCAATATACAACGATCATATGTGTATATAGAAAATGGAGAATTATGAAGTAAATTTAATCGGATATAGTGATATTACCAGAAAATGAAACACTATTCTTACCCTGAATGCGGCAATCCTTTCAGTTACGCCAAAATTCTGGCCTCTGTATCCTGCATCTGTATCCCTGTCACATGATAAAGCGTGATACAGTGACAGAGGAGACCTTGGCAGGATCACAGCTTTGATAACAGGAAGGTAGACACTACATCTTTATCCTGTGACACACTCTTAGATTTATATTTATTGATCTCTTGAGAGAGAGACAGAGAGAGAGAGAGAGAGAGAGAGAGAGAGAGAGAGAAGACAGAGACAGAGAGAGAAATGAGTGAGGGAGTGTCTTGAGTCAACACACACCAGTAAAGACGCTAAGACGTATCGTCAGAGCAAATATTCCACTTTATTATAAAATACCAAGTGTGTTGACCCGCTGCCGTCTGGGTGATAATTATTAGCATTCACCGCTCTGCCTTATCAATATGCAAATACTCAATAAACTCCAGATCCAACTGCAGAGGTTAAAGAGCATTTCATTACATTATAATATGCAAATCGAGAACTTAGCAAAGATAGGAAATTGGCAGAGTTCTCAAAATCGTGTTGGTATAATTTCATGCACCTGATGGAAAATACATGAATACTCTCGGGACAACTAATTTGAGAAGAAGTGTGGTCAAATTATCCGAATAGATATTAACCCCCACACAAGTCAATTTAATATTTCCCAAGATGAGAGAGTCAGGCACGCATCACTCTCAGACAATTTAATCAAATTCATAATTTATGGTATGTTTTATTTAATTTTAATAAAGAAAAAAGCTTATTGAGCAGCGAATTAGGAATGCTGCTGCACAAGACGCAGGACTGAACAAAATCACTGACAATCCTGTAAATGTGATGCATAAACATCGAGAAAAATAAAGATGGCATCACACGACTCTCCATACAACAGACTCCAGGCTAAGGGACTGATTACCTCCAAACTCATCCACATCTTGAACCGTTCTCTGTACTGGACTGAAGAAGTCACTGGCTGGCGAAACGTTTCCACGATAAAGATTCCTAAACGTTGTACAAACGTCTCATTCTTCAAACGCCAAAACAGACTGAATATAATCCCACCAGGTAAGTCTACGTTAAGAGCACGCCACATTTCACTACATTCCTCAGGCATTCTGAAGGATATACACGAAAGATGCTCCGGGGGTCAACGCCCCCGCGGCCCGCTCCATGACCAGGCCTCGAATGGTATTTCTCTTGCGCAAAGTGGCAAATGAAGAGAAAAAAAATAGGCAGCCTGACACTACTGGCCACTACCAACCACCATCTCCAGTCCCCAAAAAACCTGCAGCAACAGTCAGTCCTGAACAACTACCTGCACTTCAGCCCCCAACATCAACCGCAGTGCCAGTCCCCGCCAGCCTGCCCTCTAACAACACAGCAGCCAACTAATTGCCCCGTCACTTGCAACAATAATTTACCGGCCCCGTGGTGCCCCCCGCCTCGACAATTCAAACTTGAACCAACAACAACATAAGGAAGCGGAGCCCAGCCTTCCTCCACTACGCTGGTGGTAGGGAGTGGTGAGAGGGGTAACTGTGTGCATGTGGGGAGAACTCTGGAGGTGGGAATGTGTAAGGAGGTTTCAGGAGGTGGGATGTGTAAGGACTCTGACGTTGGGCACGTGTATGAAGGATTCTGGAGGTGGGAAAGTGTAAGGACTCCAGAGTCCAGGGGATGTGTAAGGAAGACTGGAGACTGGGATGTATATGGAGGAGTCTGGGGATGAGGGAAGATTAAAGACCACCAGTTTTACTTACACAAGACAGACTAGGTAGAATATGCGACAGGAAATAGCATATTTCATTTGCACACAAATTAAAAGCAGGAAATAACAGACAATGATATTTTACTTTAGTTTGCTGTAATGTTGTGGCAGAGATCACTGACAATTTATCCACGACTGAGTTTCACTGCAATAATACAACATACACACATATGGAAGAGTGTTATTGGAGTTCCACTTACACTACCTCAGAATACATACAGCTGGGACAGTGGAACATGGGAGAGTACTTGGAAATTCACAACAAGCCTGTGTGTTGAAAACTCTCTACCTTTATCTAGATTAAGAACCATTGTGTATGAGCCAAGGATTGAAAAGCAGAAGGCTCTCTTCAACACCCAAATTGTCACCTATATAAACTTGGTTAAAAAGCTTAAATTATATTAAGAAATCAAAATTACATGGACATTCTCATGGTACTTACCGGGAAAAAAGCCGCCGCCGTCACCACCTCGGGAAGCTTCTGCAACGTCAGCGGCGGCGGGGGTGGGTGCCCCAGGAGTGGCGGGAGTGGGCGGATGCCGCTGTGTGGGCGAGGATGGGCCGGTATCTCTAGAAAGCAGGTCATGCCCCGGGGTACGGGGCATATTAGCCTTACCCACTGCCCGGGCCAGGATGTCTGCAACATACAAGAACAAATATCAACCTTAGGCGAGAATTACATAAAACAAAAAAATTAACACTGTTGATTATATACAAAGGTGTTCGCACCATGCAGAAAGTTGGTTAACAATTATCGCAACTGAAACGACGTTTCGCTTCATCCGTGAGCATTATCAGGACAACCTAAATTTACCTCGTCCGATGTGTCCTCTTCAAACTGTGGGTTGGTTGTGAAGTGTTCAAGCCACGGTATTGTGACAACACCGTGGCTGGAACATTTTGCAACTAACCCACAATACCGTGGTGGAACAATTCAACAGTGACCCACAATGCCGTGGCAGGAACAATTCATAACTTACCCCACAATACCGTGGCTGGAACAATTCATAACCCCACAATGCCGTGGCTGGAACAATTCATAACTAACCCCACAATACCGTGACTGGAACAATTCATAACTTATCTCACAATACCGTGGCTGGAACAATTCATAACTAACCTCACAATACCGTGGCTGGAACAATTCAACAGTGACCCACAATACCGTGGCAGGAACAATTCATAACTAACCTCACAATACCGTGGCTGGAACAATTCAACAGTGACCCATGATACCGTGGCAGGAACAATTCATAACTAACCCCACAATACCGTGGCTGGAACAATTCATAATCCCACAATACCGTGGCAGAAACAATTCATAACTAAGCCCACAATACCGTGGCAGGAACAATTCATAACTAACCCCACAATACCGTGGCTGGAACAATTCATAATTAACCTCACAATACCGTGGCTGGAACAATTCAACAGAGACCCACAATGCCGTGGCAGGAACAATTCATAACCCCACAATACCGTGGCTGGAACAATTCATAACCCCACAATACCGTGGCAGGACCAATTCATAACCCCACAATACCGTGGTTGGAACAACTCATAACCAATGTCAGCTAACCCACAATTATATTTTGGGTTAGTTGTGAATTGTTCCAGGCACAGTACTGTGACTTACTCAAAACGCTTATTGGTAAATTTTAAACAGTATAAGTAATGGAAAGCCACACAAGAGTAATAAAGATTATTTCCTTACCTCATACTACGTATTTACTATCCACTGGCTACCTGCTTAACCAGGCTATTGCTGCCAGCGGCTCGCAGACTCCAACAGTCTGCCTTTTCTTTTTCTTTTTTTCATTACACATGCATTTACAACACCATACAAAATAAAATTGCACAAATCAGGCTTGAAAATAAATTCTGGGCAGAACTGCTGTCCTAAGGTATTCGGTGTGACTACCATCTAGGTAACACAAGCGAGCCAACACGACGGTCGTACATGTAACAACCTCGTTCAAACCTGACTCTTATGTGATTTTTATGGCAACATCCAATAAAATACTGAACTTTAAAAGGGAGAGGGAAAAACGTATATAAGCTCTCATTATTGTCTTTAAACCAGAGAGAGAGAGAGAGAGAGAGAGAGAGAGAGAGAGAGAGAGAGAGAGAGAGAGAGAGAGAGAGAGAGAGAGAGAGAGAGAAAGCTATATGTAAGAGAGAAACAAAGTGAGAAAAAGAGAGAGAAAGATAAAGCCGGGAGCGAGCATAAAAAAAACGGAAGCAAAACACGAGTGGGTTCCACACTTGTGTAAAAGCCTCATGAAAATTCAATTTGGCATCGGAGCGGGATAATGGAAAATGTAAAATGTTTTCAACTTTTCAAACAAGACCACCACCGCCGGAGCCTGTACGAACCTGGAGACATGCACATCCCACCGCACACACACACACGCACGCACACGCACGCACGCACGCACGCACGCACGCACATGCACAAATAAGCGAGTACATACATACACATATATGCGAGTACACACATACAAACAAAATACACACACACACATACACGTGAGTGCACAGTCACACCCAACGCTTTCATTACGCAAATCTCGTGATGTCAACAGTGCGTATAGGCACATTTAACAAAGAGAAAGAGAGAGAGACAGAGTGAGAGAGAGAGAGAGAGAGAGAGAGAGAGAGAGAGAGAGAGAGAGAGAGAGAGAGAGAGAGAGAGAGAGAGAGAGAGAGAGAGACTAGAATTTTGGAGCAAACTGGTGCACTTCGTAGCCGACCCGTGAGCGTCGCTTTCCGCGTGTAGGCATTCAGAGGTGTACGAGGTGGGCGACACGGGCGCCTGTTCGACACGGGCGAAGCCACGGATATGTGAGCAAGACAGGCAGTAATGCTTGCAAGTTAGAAATTAGACAGGTTGTCCATACATGGTATACATGCACCTGCAGTGTATGTATACTGTGTGTTACACGAGTGACGTGGTGGGAACCGCAGTGTAACACTGCCCTCTTCTATAGTTACACGGTGGATAGACCAGCAGTGCACGCTACCCCCTGTTATATGAGAGTTATACGGTGGGTGGGAGCAGAAGCTAGCTATATTTTCCTACCAAGTATTCCCAGTTTGGGTTCAGTAGTTATAGCGGCTGGCAATGTTTTGTTCCAGCAGATGTGGAGTTATTATTTCTTGTAAGTTAGCATCTATGAGGGCGGCCTATCCCGCACACACACGAAGAGGAAGTGGTAGTAGAGTTATCAGAGAGAGAGAGAGAGAGAGAGAGAGAGAGAGAGAGAGATACTTATCAGTAACGTGATCACTTTAACTCCCAACTTTTACCCATCAATAAACCTTATCCATCACTACCAGCCTCGCCGATTACTATTATCAAGTGCGCCACTATCATCACCATCACCACCACCAGCAGCGCCAGCAACTTCCATGAAGCCAGTGTGTCGTGCGAAAACATTTTTATATGTCGCTTTAAAACTTCATGTGAGGCGGCAGGATGAGGGAGCCACGCCCCCCCTTACCTCTCCTCTTAACCCTTCACCTCACCCACCATCCCTGCCATTATCCCCTCACCAGTGCCTATCCTTCCCTCTGGCAAGGAAAAGAGACCTGCCACCACTTATGACTTAACACCTGAATCTATCTTTATATCCTTTGCAATTAAAATTTCTACGTTTTTTAATTACACGCACGCGCACGAACGAACTAGAAAACAAGGTGTGTGTGTGTGTGTGTGTGTGTGTGTGTGTGTGTGTGTGTGTGTGTGTGTGTGTGTGTGTGTGTGTGTGTGTGTGTGTGTGCGTGTATTTTTACGTGTACGTACGTACTTACAGAGTTGCGTGGGGGTCGAGTCTCGCCTCCTAAGCCAGCCTCTTAGATTACAATGATGGTCATTACTGATTTCTGACATTTCAAGTCATATCGTTCTCGCTCTAGAAACTGTGACTCATGCTGACCAACAGCAGTGTCTCGTCAAAATCATTCTAATTTAATACCACCCATAACTATGTTGCTAGGGTTATTACAGCTTAATGAAGAGTTAATTTTATTCTACGTCCCGTTACTCTCTGGTCCTCGAAACTGAGTCTATACTTGTCTGTCCTAAAAAAATTTCTTAGTATTTTGAAAGTCATGTCCTACTCCAAGCTAGTTAGGTGCGGTTCCTTCAACTTATCCACACAATGCTTTCCTCCTAACTCCTGGACAACTTTGGTTGCAAACCTTCGGATCTCCGAGCTTCTGCAAGTGCTAGATCGGTAGAAGATTCTCGCTACAGCCACGTACTGAATGTTGTTTGGAGGTTTATTAGTCTTGCATACGTTCAAGTTATACTTAAGTTTTATGCTTCTCCACTGCTATGATATTTGAAACTCTCGCTGATATTTTTGTAGTCTTTCGCCTCGTAGGCTGTCCTGTCTACCTCCCCTTCCTCAGTGCTGTCCTGTCTACCTCCCCTTCCTCAGTGCTGTCCTGTCTACCTCCCCTTCCTCAGTGCTCACGAACTCATATTTATTCGGAGTGAACTCAGCAGCTACTTAATGGTCCAGTCCTGTAGCCTGTCCTTGGACCATATTATATATACGTTTGAAACTGTACTGAATTTGCTTCCATCGCTTCCTTAGTCAACTTATTACACCTTCTTGTCACTCTTAGACTAACAAAGAACCCCCCGAAACACTACACGGAATCTCACAACGAAGAGGAACGGGGCAGGTAAAGGTGAATTATAATAAAAAAAAGCGCTAAACCTACAAGGGTCATACAGCGGGCAGGGAAGGATTCATAAAGTGAAAAGTGTAGGAAATGTGAAGATTTTGTGGATAAATCTGAAAGATTACGCGATGATTTAAATGTAATTACACTGTATTATAAAACAACATTACACACAAGATAATGTTTGCACTAGCATACTGGAAGCCTAACCATGGTCAGGTGAGACACTTAAATACTGAGAAAAGTTATTTACTCCCCCGAGACTGGTCAGCTTCATCTCAGATGAAAAGCTTCCCACCTGATGAGGTCGTCCAGCGGTGAGGCCAGCACAGGGTACCCTTGCAGGCACGAGCATAAATATGATTAACCTGTGCCCGGATACGAGCGTTTGTCTGCGTTCATAACCAGGTCTCAGGCGAAGCTTTTCTGTAAACTGTCTGGTCAACTAGGCTATTGCTGGTCCAGCAGTTGGCGGAGGCACTGATGTAGTTTTCCTCCCCTCTCAAGAAAAAAGTGAGATATATAAATGTGCAAATAAGATTGTAAATTACAATAACTTTTAATTTGTCTCAGATTTTAGACTGCACTGTAGATGTTTTGTCAAGATCTACACTGCATTTAAAACTTATATTTCAGTATTTTTCTTGGAGGTGAATTCCTCAGGTGATTCCAGGCACTTAATGTTAACTACAATGACCTGTTGGGAAGTTTCTTGTGTTTTCATCATAAAACTGTGTTACCTTGGTGGCAAGCCGGAGCAACTTTCACCAGTATGTGACAAGATCGTTCAGAACCTGGCCTATTATGCAATACAAACTCTCCTTCAGGTTATAACTCTCCTTCCCTAACTACACAAAACAACTCGACATGCCGCATTACACGAGAAATATTTATTCAGCAGTTTGTGCTCCATGTAGATCTCTCTCTCTCTCTTTCTCTCTC